GCTATTCGACCGAGATTAATTAGTATTGGAGTGAATATAGCGACGAGAGCTGTATAATTCCAATTTGGCAATGATCTTATATAACCAAAGAAAATAATCCAGGGAACTAACATTCCAAATGTTGGATAAATCTGTTCTCCAACTGCTAAATATGTAATATATGACCACATTGCTCCTATTAAAGAAAAAGAGTTAAAAAAAAATACTGTTTGTTAAACTTACCAAGTAAAGTCCCGAAAAGTCTCATTCGCATTGTTGTAAATGCTCCGCCAACAGTATCTCCTTGTGTCATACAGAGAGCGATAAAAATCCATTGACCATTTTCAAATGTTGTTACTAAACTCGGTACCATAACAAAAATTGAACCAACTCCCATTATAATTGTAGTTTTCAATGCTACCAATATTCGTGACCATTTAGGTATCAGACGTTCTTTTAAACTTTTTTTTCTTTTTTTTTCAACAACTTTTTTCTTGTCTGTTGTCGTTACTGATATTAAGAGTTTTGCAATAGTATGTATTTGAAAAAGAAAGAAAGAATGACCGAGATAATCTTCGGATTTAATAGTTGTGCCAGATATAACTGCATATTCTAAACGATGAAAACCAGTATCTCTGTATATCTTACTAAGTTTTTGATGAGCTTCATAAAGATCCGATACATAATGCATAAATTCACCTTTTGTTATCGATGTATGTTTTGTTATATTATTTATTATTATCGATTGACATGAACATAAATTTAGAAGACTCTCTCTGACATCTCGTGTTAAATCAGTGTGATATTCATTGAAATGACATTGTTTAACCATTGATTGCATCGATCGAACATGAAGAAATAATGATGTGACCAAATTTTCTTGTTCTACAAATAAAATAGACAAAAGTAAGTTTCCTATTAAGAAAGCAAACCTGATAATGTTAAATCAATTATATTTTTTCTTTTTAAATTGAAAATCCGTTGAAGAAGTCTTGATGGTTCGAAACGAGCGAAAACTAGTTTTGTTTGTAGTGAACTCATAGCTTCAAAAACCATTTGTTCAATTGTTGATACTTGAGTAAGTAAGACTTGTGCATCTATTTGATCTTGATGTAAGAATGATTGAACTATTAACCTATGCATTTCTCCAAGATTTAATAAAATATAATTAACACGATTTTCAATATCCATTGTTGCAAAAGCAGGAAAGATAATCAAAGAAACAAGTACAGATACACAAATTCCAATAGCAAATTCTTCAAATATTTGAAAAATAAGAGTTGACGGAATAATCGGTTGATTGACGATCGTTGCAAAAAAAACTGCACACATTACCAAAGGTATTTTACGACTTTGAGCCTAAATTAACATTTACTCTTCCAACAAATATTTTTGCGATGAAACCTTAGGATATCATTTGTAAACGAAAATAGTCTCTCACGCATAATGTCATACTTATGATTTCTAGTAGTACATTTTCATTCTCTTACTGAGTATTAAATTAATGCAATACTAATACCAAAGCATTAAACTATTTTTTCTAATCTCATTAAGACCTTTAAAAAAAATAACGATTGATTATATCTTAAACCGTGTAAAAAGCATTCGAATTTTTTTTTTAAGTGAGATCCCTGAAGTGAACTGTGTATGTTGAGAAATGTATACCTGTGAACCAACGAAGCCAATAAAAAAAGATACAATGAGTAATATAATTTCAGCTGCAACGTAATCGTGATAACCAAGACCAATTTTTTGAACAATAAAAAGAAAGATTGAAACAGGTACAAGTGTGGTTAACATTTGAAAAGCAGCAGCCACTGTTAAACCAACTGTATCTTGTATAACTAATACACTAGCAAGAGGAATTAAAAATATAAGTTGTGAGACCTGATTTTTCAATGGTGTTCCATAGGCAAGGAAACCACTGACAAGAAACGCAATCACCAATCGAATTGAGAATTGAACGCGACGAAAAAATAATGAATGAATATATGGTGAATTAGAATCAACATAATTATAATTAAAATAAAAACGTCGAACTAAAGCAAACACTCTCAACCAACCCATCTTACAAAAAAATGTTCGTTAAATGAAAAACAAATAATATATTTTCCTTATGACTGACACGCCTTACTTGTATAAGAACGGAAAAAATAAGTTAACGGTGCGTGCAATCGCGATTTATCAGTCATTAATTATTATCTAAAAGTACATCACACGGTTTGAGTATACTCTAAGTACGACCTTATCACACGCAAATAAGTCGTAATTCAAAAAAACATTTATCAATTTTATTACAAAAATAATTAAGTTGCAATTCAAAAAAATAATTTTTATATCTTTTCATCTTAAAAAATAAAGTAATTAACGGTAGTTCGAAAAAGATTACATTTGTTTTATATAGAAAAACATTTCCTAAATAGAACAGCAACCAAAAAATCGAAAAAATGTTCTTTGTTCAACAAGAAACTTTATATTATTTATTATAACTGACATTAGAAAGTCATTGTAACGATAAACTGGGTGACTAGCATACCTTCACCTTCATCGGTAATGATATTTATTAAATTATTTTACACGTTCAGATTGTAAATACATAATATAACGCACGCTTATATAGGAATGAGAAAAAGGTAGATGAACAGAGAAAAGAACAATCAAGAGAGAATCAGTATGAGGTGATATCAATAGTCAATTCCCTATTTCAAGAAGCGACTCAACATCCAAAACTTCAAACTGACTCAAAATTCCCACAATTCAAAAGTTTTGATATTCGTGCATGTATATATCTGATATCTTATAAAAGTCATATCTTCAAATATTTCAGTACTCTACATAAACGTGATAAATCTTGATTCTCAATAATAATCTTTTCGTCTGTTTAAGTAATTACTCGATAAGAAAGGAAAGTTTTTAAAATAAATGATTTATTCATATTGAATTTTATCCTAGTTTAGATTCAGTGATTTAAAAAAAGTCGAATCAATTTTTAACTTCTCCTATTTATAAACGAAAGTTAAATTTAAACTTTTTGAAATTTATTGAAAGGTAAGAACTACCACTTCTTGAGACTTAGATCGAATAAATTTTACACAAATTCAAAAAAAGGCTTGTCAAAAGAGAAAAGATTCCATCTTGATTTTATACCAATCTCATTCAACCATAAACTGACAAAGTCTACAAATATAAGCATGTCTATTAATCACATCTGAAAACATTTATAAAGTCATTATAGTTTACTTTAAACAAGATCCGCTTGCATGTGCAGTGCACTGTACAGAATATATCTGATGTGTTGAAAGTAAACTACCATTTATTTGTGTTGTTTTCTTTAAAGTTGTTTATGAAATATGAAATAAAAAGGTTTATTGAATGTGATCAGATACTAAAATTTGTATATATCAGAAGAAAATAAATTTAGAGTAAATACAAACTGTTCGAAAGTTTTTAGAAGATTTCAGAAATTAACTAGAAATATTAGAGCGATTTTAAATTGAACGTTATCTTAATCTATACTCAAAGTATCTCGATGTCGTCCAGGATGAAGCAATGCAAGATGTGAGATTGACGAATCATGAGTTCGGCTGGAAGACTCCTTAAAATTCATCGAATACCTGGGGGTGGTTGTGTCTTATTTATCTCACTCACACCTGCACCTTCAAGTTTTTTCAGGGAAGTCATAAAGATTTAATATTTTGGATTTAAAAGTTTCTCGATATGATCTTTCATTTGAGCCAAAAAACTCCTCAAAAAAAATTTAGCTCCAGACGGTGTGATAGGTGGTCTGACAGACCGTCTTTTAAGAGAGACGGTTCATCACTGAATCGAGTATTTTCTTAATAAATCGTCATACAAAAAATATTGGCCCCTCTTCAGCTTATTACAAATGAAAGAACTTGTAAAACAACCTATCAATCCAAACTTTTCATTTTCTGCGGATCACTTTTGAATGGCTACGACGGTGAGTGTGGCTGTGGGTATGAGTATTATATTCATTAGACACTCACAACTCACCCCTTCTCATTTATCTATACGGACAACCTGAAAAACGAGAAACTATCTATGGAATAGAAGAACTTATGTTGATCGTATTACAAATCTTCATAGACGATAGGACAAAGAAATAATCAACAGATCACTTATTAAAAATCACGAAGTTTTTGTTCATAGAAATACAACTAAATGAATAAAACAATACTATACGTATGACAAAACCCATCGAAAGTAATAAAGAATCACCTTTGGAAAAAATCAAGAATATATAATAGTTTTAAATTAAAGGTATATAATCTACACATTCATGTATTGTTAAAATCATATTGGCTTCACTATTATTACCTCATACAATTACTCAACCAGCTGTCAGCACAATTGTTGATCGATCTAATGCGGTATCGTGCTGTTTTTTACTATCATTTGCTAATGACGACAATGCCTTAACAATTTCTTAATATGTCTAATCCCTGTTAATCATTCCCGCACAACGATACTGCACAAATGCTACACTTAAAAATACTTGGTAGATGCTTTTAAAGATGTAATTTACATTTAATTACTTTTTAATGAATCAGCATATTGTTCTAAATATTGTCGAATGATAAGAGGCCGTCGTTCCTTCCAACTCCAAAAATGTCTTACACAGCATAAAAGACAGTAAACTATTTGTAACTGAAAGATACATGTGAGTGTGAATGAGTGTCAATGACTACGTGAGTATCAGTAGAAGATAAGTCTCCACTTACAACCACTTATTCAGAAATTATCAAATATATTAGGTTTAGCTAAAAAATAGATTTTTTTAATCGATGTATTTGTTTTTTCAATTCTGTACAAAATAACAAAATATGTTGTTCAAATAGAATCTGTTTTCTCTGTTAGAAAACGTTGCATTTTCTTCTGTAAGTGACGATATTCAATGTTTTTCTTTCATATCCTTCCTCCAAAGTTTGAAGATCATGAATATTCTCTTATATTTACAGCAGATTATAGCTGGCATCTGGTAGACGTTTGTCCATAAATCAACTTTGAAAAAGGAAGCAAAATTTATTGTTCTTATTTATCGATCATGTTTAATGTTGCTTTTTGTTGCAGATGTTTCAATAAAAATACTTCATGTTAATCTTATTGCGTAGAAGAAAAAAACTTGTTATTTTCATGACTATTCATTTGCAGCAACATATTGAAGTGTTTTCTATCACTTTAACGATGTTATAGTCAGTTACTTGGTAATAGCACTGCAAAATAACTTCTAGTTCTTGAGCAACTGGATTTGGGTATGGGTTAGTATAACGTAATACTATGTGAATAATGGAAAAAGAAAGATTTTTCAGCTTCCATGAATGAATATAAATTTCAACACTTTTTATAAATGTTTTTTGTCAGTTTTGGCAAAATGATTTAAAACCATTCCGAAAAGTTTTCTAGACATATATTTCTATATTAATAATTTTCTTTCAATTGATTTCTAAAAAAAGTATTTTTCATTGTTTTAGCTTTGCTCAAGTATTATGTTCTCCTCATATTTATTGAAAATATGTTTTATTTTGATTTCATCTGATTTTGTTAGATATCTTAGATTTTGATTGTCACAAGCTATTAATCCAATCTCATACGTGCACAACATACTCATTATGAACCGAAATCAAATAGGAGTTTGTGATGTAAAAGATTTTGTTTAAATTAGATAAAATAACGTTTGATTTTAATAAACTATTTTAGTCTGAATCTGAATCAGTTACGTCGAATTCTCAACAAACACCAACTGATCGATCAACATCGTCGTATGTGTTTTTGAATTGTTGAAATTCATAATCGAAAGAATTGTTTATTGTAGAAGCAGATGTTTTGTAAAAAAGAAATTGTTATGGATTATTATTGGTATTATCGTTGTTATTTTGGTCGTAACTATCCCAACCATGATTATCAAAATAAAAAAAACAAATAAAATAAAACTATCAACTGTGGCAGCAGAAACAACAAACATGATAAATCCATCAACTGTAGCAACAGAAATAACAACGCAACAAATTACAATAACGGCAAAAAATCCAACAACAGAAGGTATAATATTGATAAAATAAAAAAAAGGCGATATTCATTTTTTTTGGTAAACTATTAAAATATTTTTCACAATATGTTACTATTGAATTTATTTTTCCATATTTTATTAGAATATTCACACAGATTACAATTCTATTGTTTGATTTTTGATAAAGATAAATTCTAAATCATATTTCACGAAGAGAAACATCGATAGTTTTCATGAAATTCATAGTTCGATTTATCAAGGAAGTACTTTGAAGAATTATTTCAATACGAGAAGATATACTTCGTTGTCTTCAAAACGACGTTTTATCTTTGTATGACTACGCTTTTATTGTCATTCTTTACCTAAAGTTGAGAGATAAGAATACAGATTTACAAAAGTCCTTTTATACAATTTATAGAATGACATATTAAGAAAATCTATAGAATATATTTGACAAACGATAAATATTTGAGAAATGAAGAAGGAAATTAGAGTATTTCTTCCAAAGATTCTGCTTTGAATGTTTATTAGTGTATAATTTCTCCCATGAAACATCTTGTAATCAAGACACAAAGTGGACAAAGGTGATTAGGTCTTGCAGATTTAGACAGAAGATAAGAGTAATTTGATCTTGTGTATACAAATCAATCTGATGTGATTGCGATAGATGAACATTGGTTTTTGATACTTGTAGAAGATATCGAATGGATTATTTCTGAAATATTTAAGAGCACCCATACACGAACTATAGTGACTATATTAGATCATGTGTATCTTGATTAAGATCTTATAAATCTATATCAAAGATCAAATTACAGATGTTGATATAGGATAATAATATTATCTTGTATCTAAAGTTTCAAAATCTTTTTAGTTTTGTGTACCATGATCAAGATCTTTCTAATATGGTGTTCGCTTAGAGTATAGTATTCTCAAAATTCCAATAGAAAACTAATCGAGAAACATCTGTAGGAAATATCGCAGAATACACAGTGGTGCCAGCGTGGATAAGCGGAACGATTAGCACGGGAATGGTGACCACGAGAAAGTTAAGCAGGGTATGGATGTGAATGTCGGCGGGTGTGACTGTAAGTAATATATTTTGTTTGTACATAACACATACACTCACACCCACGGCCTTTTATTTTATTTATGCTTAACTTTCTCGTGCTCATCGTTCCTCATCCTTATCGTTCACCAACCCGCCAGTATGAATGTGAGAATTTGTCTTCTCTTGACTCTCGATTAGTCATCGATCGATATGCATCATCAATTCAAAGAACAAACTCTGATTCGCTTGTCCAAGAGAAAAAGAAACCGATATTTTTATTCAGTTTTCTTTTGTTATTTGAAATACCAAAGATTAAAGTTTAATCATATTTTATCTTCAACTAATTTCAATGATAAACTGTTTTTTTGTTGATTGTATTTACAAAAAACTGCAAAGATCTTCGATCGAATCATTCATTCGAATTTATGCCGGAAATGAATTACAAAGTAATTCAAAACTTTCATACAATGTATATATGATATGTGGGGACAAATACCTATATCGACCCCTCCCCTCCACTCCCTTTTTTTATGATCCAGACTGACTAATGAGCTACTGGGGAGTTCATTAAAAGTATTCCTAAAAGTAACAGAGCAATAGTTTACGAGATATACGAAGATGTAAACATAAGTTTAACACTGCATAAAAGGTTTATTTTTTGAAATAAAATATAATGAAAGTAAAAAAAGGATGTGAATGTGGGTGTAAGTTAAGAGAAGAGATACCCACACCCTCAAATGCACAGAATTATTCGGTGAAATAAAATTGACATTGGCGTGTTTCAAAAAGAATTTGATCGATATTGTATATAAATTCACAGCGCATTGTCCAAGATCTTAGACAATAAATGAGAAAATATATAGGATTTGTTTTTATGGAGGTGATAATCAAAAATAGTTTGAAAAAGAAATGAACCTATTCTGGTAGATGTGATTACGATCCAACGGGATCATCCTGAAGTTTTTCTCTGTACCACAAAAAATCTTTTAACACTATAACTAGCTACACTACAATAATCAGTAGTTCTGAAAAGCAAGCGATACACTAGACCAATGTGAATTGATTCCGTTTTATGATAGTTAAACATAAGCTATAAGCTTTGACCGTTGAATTAGGACAAGTTTCTGACCGGAATGTCGTCTTGAATGAAAATGAAATATTTCAAGAACAGTAGGAGTATACAAATGTTATATGAGTTAGTTTCTACAATTCGGCAAATGTTTCATTATTAAACTGCTAAAAAATGTAAAATGAGTTGTCAAAACTATTATAGTCGAGATGTAATTAACCCTCGTACTACCAAGCCTTTTTTTTATCACTGTATATTCCCTCAACAGAACGGACAAGAATGACCCTCATGGTACTACTAGGGTTAAAGTAAAGATCATAGAATTGTAATTATAATGTTAGGCATCTGACGATTTCCTATGTTATTATAATGCACTAATAGTTAAGGCCGACAGATTGTTAGAGAAGAAGAAGAAGAAGAGGAGGAGGACGAAAGAACTTAGGAATAAATCCATATCCAATCATTTAGTCTCTTTCTAAACTCATTTTTATAATCTAGAATCACCTGCCACATCAACTTCAACAACAACTTCAACAACAACATCAACAACAACTTCAACAATAACGTCAACAACAACAACAACGTCAGGTTAGTAATATGCTGGATGATTTGTAATAGCCTAAACGATGAGTATCGGAAATGACCAAATCTAAGAGTTTCGATTTTAGCAGTCCAGTGTTTCTCATTTAGATTTAGAACATCAGAGAACTTTGTATGAGAGCTAGAAACAGGATCAATTTTTGATGAATTAATTTCATTTACAAATAGTCAAATATTGGATATGTCAATCGATTTTGACGGTATCATGCAAATATGTTGTCGATAAAAAGATTCTCACATGGTAGAACTCAGTGATCACTTCAGCAACTCCTCATTACATCGAAAAAGGTTGATAATGATAGATATCATGACTAAATAATGTCAGACAATATCATTGCTTGTAAACATAGCGTAGAAGATAATTGGAAATATCCATGAATACTTTCATGCATCAACCAGATTATGTTAGAAATGTACTATTTATTGAATAATTTTTGAAGACTTATGTCCAGTGCTATTTGTAGCTATCACTATTTCTCATAGTACACCGTCAGCAAGAGTCTATTCTAAGTTTCATCTCTATCAATTACTCACATTATAATTTAGACAAACTCGCATACTAAACATTTCTAGCTGATCATAGTTGCTTATTTGAGAACGGAAGTGAATCTAAGAAAAATCTTCTTTTATAACTGAAACAGTAGATTTTAATCTATATTTATTCATGATATGATCAGTTTTAATGTGATATATCGGTATGATTATACACGTAGAAGTACTAGTTGATATGAGCACCTAATCTCATGTGTCAGGTAGCATTTATATAGAATTGACGTGTTCAAAAGAAATTGTAGTTGGATAAAATACTAACTTAATACTTGAGAAACACATCTTTCATAAATATTGATTTTTTCATAAGAATGATGTGAGCATTATATTCTCTCATGCACAGACACATTCATTCCAGTGGCGAAGCTAGAATTTTGAGCGAGGAGAGGGGGAGAGCTCAGCCTCCAGAATCGTTTTTGTTCATCTTAGGAAGTATAATTTTTTTTCACTTTTTCACACGTGGTTGGATAGAGCTCGTCGAGTTGAGTAAGAATTGGTCAGTTTTTATATTTTTTCCAAAGTGCTGAAATACCCATTTTCTTGAAAAAAATATTAAAAAAACTCATCCTCTAATGTTTTTTTCAATTTTAGAGAACTTTTACATTTCTTCGGACTATGAAGATAACATATTTAGATTTATCGTGAAAAACTGCATCGATTCGACCTTCTTTTGATATTCCTTACTAAAAATATGCTTGTAAAATGTAAGGGATTTAAAAGTGAAAAAAACATTAAAAGATGAGTTTTTCTAATATTTGTTTCAAGAAAATGGGTCTTTTAGCACTTTGCAAAAAAATCGACATTTTTCAACAAAAACCTTTCGAAAAAACGATACATTCTTATTCAGCTCGACGAGCTCTATCCAGCCATGTGTGCAAAAGCGAAAAAATATTTTGCTTTAGTTTTGCATTGTTTCTACCTTACGTTATCGAATGAGTGAAATATGAAAGTGAGAAATCTCTAGAATCTAGCTGAAACTCATATTAAATGTGTTTTTATTTGTTTAAAAAGTACATATGATTTCCACACAATAAGGTATATCTCATACAGTATTCTATTACAAAGAATAATAAGATTTTGTATCGGAAAAACATATTTTTCAAAATCTTGCTAGGGAGAGGGAGCTGAGTACCCTCATCCCCCTTCTCACTGGCTCCGCCACTGATTTCATTTACAATTTAACTTCAACAAAAAAAAATAAACTCAAAGTTTCCTTGAAAACTAATCTTTTCTTTTTTTCGTCGATAAAAAACAATTATCTTCTTCTTCTTCTTTTTCCCATCAAAATCTTTTGTTTTTATTCTTGTCTAGAACCGAAATTCAACAAATGGAAACAAGATGGTATCACTGTGGTTGGTTGGATTACAGAAAAACCAGAATTATATGAACCCAGTTTTCCTGAAGGAATCTATATTGATAAAAACAAAAATATTTTCTTTGCTGATACTATGAATCATCGCATTGTTGAATGGAAACAGAATATAAAGGAAGGACAAATCGTTGCAGGTGGAAATGGCAATGGAAATCGAATGGATCAATTGAATCGACCAACAGATGTGATTGTTGATGAACAAAATCATTTCATCATCATTGCTGATATGTTTAACGGACGAGTGATTCAATGGTTTAATCAAAATCAACAAATTCTCATTCACAATATTGCCTGTTATGGCTTGGCAATCGATCAATATGGATTCCTTTATGTTTCTGATAAGGAAAAGCAGGCGGTGAGACGATGGAAAATGGGAGAATATAACAACGAAGGAACAGTAGTGGCAGGTGGGAATGGTGTAGGAAATCAACTCAGTCTACTCAGAAATCCTACTTTTATCTTTGTTGACGAAGATCAATCTGTCTATGTAACAGACAACGCCAATCATCGTGTGATGAAATGGAGAAAAGGTGCAAAAGAAGGAATTGTTGTGGCTGGAAGAAATGGTCAAGGAGGAAATCTCAATCAATTGTCTGACCATCGAGGAGTAATTATTGATGATTTGGGTCATATCTATGTGGCAGATTATGGGAATCATCGAATAATGCGTTGGTGTGAAGGAAAAGCAGAAGGTGAAATTGTTGTGGGTGGAAATGGTCCAGGACGTCCACCAAATCACTTGAATAATCCTACTGGTTTATCTTTCGATGATGAAGGAAATCTTTATGTTGTTGATGGCGGAGCTAATCGAATTCAAAAATTTGAAATAATTTTGTGAACGAAGTTTTGATTTTGAAAAAAAGAAAAAAGTTTTATCGAATAAATAATCAAGAAATAAAAGAAAAAATAAAGTTTTGTTGTTGAGAATCAATGAAAAAAATCGAATGAATTTTTGATGAGAAAATAACGAAGGAAAATCTTTTTTGTTTTTTTCATGAACCTTGAATTTAATTGATAGTTTTCATTAAAAAATTCGAATAAATAGATGTTAAATTCTTCATCTTTTGTTGAATTTTTTAGAAAAGAGAAGAAAATATTTTGCAATTTGAGTTGAGTTGAAATAAAAATTCTTTGAAAAGAAGTTTTTATGCTTTAGAAAATTCTATTTGTATATTTTTATTTGATGGAAATAACCAAATTGTCTAATGTTGAAGAAACAAGAAATGTTTTACAAAAGTTTGGTAATCAAAATTGAATTAAAAATTTATTTGAGAAAATGAAATCAATAAAATAAATCAATGAACATTTTCATTTAGATGAAAAGCAAAAACAAGAATTACGGAAGAAAAATGAACAAGAAATTGAAATAAAATAAAACATTAATACTAAACGTTATGAAATGATCCAAAATTTAAATTTGATATCAAAGAGATTTGTTTCATTTTTCAAAGACAAACTGAATTCATTTCAATTTCAAATGAAAAAATTCAACATTTTCTTTATTTTTGATTTTGAATAAAAAGTTTCTATGAAAAATGATTTAAATTCAATTTTCTTCTTTTTCATCAAATAAAATCCAAATTATTGATAACTTTCAAATCAATGAAGTTTTTTTGTGACAAAATATTCGTTTTTTATTGACATTTGATGAAATAAAATCAATTTGTGGATGTGAGTATTAGTTTTATTACTCTTTGATCTATATTGACATTTCAACAGTAGCATTTCTCAAGAAATATGTCTGATTAGAGTCATTAAATGATTTACAATATTTTTATGAATAATGAAAAAAATATTTATAATCAGGTTCCAATTAGTTGAAGTTGATAAACATTTAATAAAAAGGGGTGTTGGTGTGGATTTGATCGTCCCTTGTTGATCTAATAAGAACTCACACACCCCCTGATAATTAAGAGAAAGAATAAATTTGTATAAAATTCAATTTACTTTTAGATTTTACAGAATTTGCTTGAATTATTATTTGATAAAGTTTTACATAGAAAAATAAATGTTCATAACTATTTATTTGAATTCGATAACACAAATCAACTCTTCTTCAATAGTTTAATTCGTCATCATAATAAAATATTTTGATTTTATCGATTGAATTCTTACCGAACGGCAGAGAAAATATATACTATTTTTACTTATAATTATGTTAATATAATCATAATTATTCATTATAATGAATAATTTCAAAGGATAATAAAATGATAAGTTTAGTTGATTTTGTTAAATGTGACATTATTCTGTGCAATTCTAATTCTTTTGTTTATATATTCATCTTGTCGAATAGTATTTGATGAAGATTCATTCTGAAGATAAACAATTGCACTTTTTTATTTTTTATCTAATCTATGAAATAAAAATAAAATCAATTGCCTAATGCATTTCTGATAAGAAAAAAAGTCGATTTATTTTCTCTTTAAGCTGAATGCAAAGTAACTAAAACATTTTGTTGTCAAAAAAGTTCTGTTTTATTGTTCAGGAGGCATTGTATTTCCTTCGTTAAGGCATGATTTGCGATGTATTCTTAACAAGAATAACATTAAAGTTTGTTTGAAACACTTTGTTTTCACATCCTTCCTACAAACATTTCAATATCATGAATATTTTTGTATATTCACAGCAAATAATGTCTGGCATTTCATATCAGTTTTGAAAAAGGAAATGGATTCATTGTTTTTATTTACTGATAATTTCAAATGTTGCATTTGCTGCATAAATTTCAATAAAAAAGAAAGTTCTCATTGACATCATTATGTAGGCGAATAGAGAACAAAAAAAGAAATAACTTGTTTTTATTTCATTCAATAGAAGACAAATATCAATAACAAGTAATGCTTTGTGAATAATAACAAATAAAAAGATGCAGAAGAATATGTTCTATTCTACAGATATCAACAGAATAATGAACAAATTTTAGAAACTCTGCAGTACTCAAAAAAGGATTCTCAAGTGATATTTTTCACTTTATTTTCATATATTTGTTTGATTTAAAATAAAGATAATAAAAATCAGTCAATGATTATGATGCTTATTGTATACGAGTGTTTTTATGTAAAATATTTATGACAAGTTATCAGGAGTCGATGAAAACAGAAGATCATTTTCTTTGTTCAGATTAGTTTTGAATACAAAATTTTATGTATTGTAAATGTTGAACTTTACGAAATAACATGTGAAAGTAAATTATATATTTCAAAAACAACAATTAATAGGATTATTTCTATAAAAACAACATTGAATATTAACACTTTTTGACGGAAATCCAAAGTTCCATGAGAGAGAAAAACAATGTATTTTATTATTTTTCATTCATTCATTTGACAGTCTATAGATTGGAGCTGTAACTAGATGACGGTGTGGATGTGGATGATGTTAACAGAAGACACATTTACACTTCCAAACTATTCCGATGGACTATATTTACCTATAACTTACATGTATTATGATTTATAGTATTTGAAATTTAATTTTAGTACCAAGACAAAATATTCTTCTTCATATTTAAATTATTTCTAATTAAAGGGTAAATCTGAGATTACAGTTACACTCACATTCATCTATCCAGAAATCATCGAATATATTAGGATCAGTTACAAAATAGATA